GGAAATGTATTTAAATTTCAACCTGTGTTTGCTGTAAGGATGGAGGAGGATGGGGGCGTGTGGGGAGCAGCCTACCCGCAACCTACCTTACGACTTGCTGTGGCTAAACTCCCTGAGTATGACTCAGGCCTTGCAACATTGTATCCTTCAGCCAGGCCTGGTCTATAAACACTGCCGTTCAGTGAACAGATGTCCAGGCTCTTTAACCCCATTGACAGGTGAGAAAGCAGAGTCATGAAGTCTGGGATTGCCCAAAGCCTCCTAGCCAGTAGAAAGCCTGTGCAAACTGGTCTCTGCCTTTCTCCTGCCTTGGCCTTGCTTGTCACCAGGCTTTTGGTCGGCATGGAGAAGCCACCTTGAAAGAGGAGGCCCCACAGGCTGCATACAGGGCAGGTAGTTTATAGTGACTAGTCAGTGAAAGAAAATCTGCCAACCCCAAGAGAAGAAGGAGCCTGTTACATTTAACAAGAGAGGGGAATTGGCTGGGCTGAGTGTGCCTCTGACAGCAAGCAGTCGGCACAGGGCAGAATTCACAGCTCCATGGCCAAGCCTGCTGCTACTGCATACGGTTTCCACATTAAACTATAGGTGGCCTTATTTAAAAGTAGACTGTTTTATACGTCTCATAGTGCTGTCTAGACTGGGGGACATTTATGACCGTGGCTGCGGTAAGGCAGACACAAACACCTGAGCCTCTTGCCCCAAGCTCGCCCTCTGCCTTGTGCTGGGAAGAAGTGGAGCTGGGATGGGAGGAGATGTGATTTAAGACATCTGGCCATGAGTCCTAAGCCCTCTGCTTCTTTCCATGATCTTTTGTAGGTGTGTGGGTTGAAAAACAGGGGAGAGGGGCATTTCTGTATAATGCCACACACGGCGGCATAGTTCTTAAACGGCTTGACCACAAGAGTGGTGACATCCTTTTTCCTGTGCTTTTTTTTTTCTCTCTCTCACTGTCTGTATCTCCACTGCCCCTTGCCTTGAGGACATGGTGGATGGATATGTTCTCTTGCATGTGTAGCCTAGTCAGGGGCAGGTGCTCAAAAAGCCACGAATTATGAAGGCTGAGGTCATGAGCACGGACATAGCATTTCCTTGTTTAGCTGCAGGGTATTTGCAAGAAGGAAGTTGGGGTGACCCTGGGGTTGCTTTATGGGTTCAAGTTGTTTTCCTTCCTGTTGTCTGAATCTAAGGGTGCAGGTATCATAATGTCCTCACAATGGCTTCACCTATCTTGAGTTTACCATTTGAAGGTGGCATTATATTACATAACCAGGATGGTGCTGTCCAGTCCTGCCTTGACTTTGGGGGGAACCAACACCATCTCCACACGGAAGACCTCCATTTGCTGTGTCTTGAGAAACCAGGAGGAATTCAAGTTTGCTTTGAGGTTGAAAGGAAGGGTCTACCTATGGGACACTGAGTAAAAGTGACCAACATTTCCTGAGCAGTAACCGGCCCAAGCATATCATAAGCATCTCATATACAGAATTTGTAGGGCCCAGGAAACAGATTCTGTTAGTTCCTCATAAATGGAGAGAAAACTGGGGTATGGGGAGGTTCTATAACCTGTTCCAGGACACACAGCTAGAGGATGGCTTCAGCCAGGCCACCAAGCCACGCTTCTAATATTTACCCCCATAATATCTGAGGCATTTGCTTGGTTTATCCGTCACCTTCTTGAGGCAGATACCCACGAAGGGGTTGTCATTATGGGTTTCTCTCCCTTTTGCTTGTCTGGGTCCTACACAGAGAGGCCTAGTGTGCAGAAAACAAGAAAAGAAAGAGGACTCAGTTGTTAAGAAAAAGATGGAGTGGGGAGGGTATAGGTGAGCGATGTGGCCGTGCCAGTTGGAGGGGATGCCACAAAGTAGAAACCGGCAGGAGAGGGATGCCAAGATCCACAGCACACACAGCCCGTCAGGTGTGTTAGATGATCACTGAACACTGACTCTTAGGCTTGCTGGGACTGTTTTCTTGATTTGCCGTTAACTGGCTGGCTGACTGTGAAAGGGGCCATCTCCACATGGGACCCAGCGTCTGCCTCGGCTGCTTTCATTGGCTTCTAGCTTTTGTTTCCCCCAACTTCCCACCACCCCATTTGACATTTTCAGTGGAAGGGGCTCTGCAGTCTCAAAGAAGCTTCGGTTGCGGGTACAGTCACCCTGGTTTTTAGCAGTTGGAGCCCTTTGAGTTTCTGCAGCTCTGAGTAGGGCTTGATTAGAATATGGACACTTTTCCTCCATGCCCAGCTGGAAGCCTTGCCTTGGCAGAGGCACCGTGAGACCCCTGGCCTGTCGTTGGACCCTTGCAGGGAGTAGACAGAGGCCTCATTTTCTTGTGCATTAGAATGTCCTTACTTCTCTGACCCTGGAACATGAAGGAATGTATTGCAGTTGTGATTTGACAATAGTGCTTCCTTGAGGCCAAGCTCAGCTTGCTGCACAGCCAGAGGGGTGGTTTCTGTCCTTGGCCCATCTTTAGTGTTGGAAGGAATGTGGAAGTTGGTCCAGTAGCCACCCACATTCTCCAGGGCCTGTGTGTGTGTTCACTGTCTGTTTCATCCAGGAATCGGCTCCCAGGATACAGGCCTCACTCAGCCAGAAAAAGCTTCCCTATGATGGTTTTCCATCTGACATAAGCAGAGGAGACTTTCCTTGCTGTGCACTGAATGGGGGCCATCAAGAGGACCTGTGCAACTCTGAGCCGGCACTGTGGTTACAAGGTGCCTTGAAGTTCGAAGGCGCATTCATCTCTGTGCCGTTTTATTTAACCAGACCCACAGTCTACCCAGGATCTAAGGGGAGTGGTGTCTCCATTGGATCCCCAGCTGTGCATCTCCTGTGTTACACCTGTACCATTCTTGATTGCCCACAGAGACAGGATGTCAGAGAGACCAGAGATCATCTTTTATGTGCAAGTATAGGCAGCATCATTTAGCTTGTGTGCCCCCTTTAAAGAAAAAGTTTTGCTTGTTCATTTACTTAATGTGTGTTGTGTTTGTGTGCGTGCACACACACGTGTGTGTGTGAGTGTGCATGTGTGTATGTGCACCTGTGTGCTGTGTGCTTGTGCATGTGTGTGCATGTGTGTGTGTACGTGTGTGCCTGCACACATCATGTGCATCACAATCATGTGATGGTCAGAGACAACTTTACTTCTCCGAAGACACTTTTCACCATCCACTGTGTTCTCTAAGGCGGCTGTCTTGCTTCTTCTGCTGCATTGTGTGCGCCAGGCAAGGCGACTGTGGCCTTTCCGGCAGGTGATTCTCATTGCATTCACTCGCCTGTCACCAGAGGAGTGCTGGGCTGACAGATAGGAGCTGGGGTATTTGACTTGGCGCCTCTCTCCCTTCCTCTCAAAACTTGGGTTCAGGACTTGAACTCCTGTCCCCAGGCTTTGCTGCAAAGCACTTTTAACTGCTGGTGCTCCTCACGGGCCCCGATTTCACCACCGCTTTTTAGGCTGGGGTCTAAACTCTCCTTTGCTTTTTCTTTCTCCCTGATGTCTGCCTGGGCTAAATGTCTGTTCAGGTCTAGCATGTGCCAAGTATGGGGGTTGAGGACTGGAGCCATGGCTGTAGCCCTTGTCCACGGCTGTAGCCCTTGTCCATGGCTATAGACCATATCCATGGCCATAGCCCTTATCCACGGCTGTGGCCCTTACCCGTGGCCCTTATCCATGGCCGTGGCCCTTATCCACGGCCGTGGCCCTTATCCACGGCTGTAGCCCATATCCATGGCTGTGGCCCTTATCCTTGGGCATAGACCTTATCCACGGCTGTTGCCCTTATCCACGGCTGTGAAGGTGGAGTGCTGTCAAAGTGCAGAGCCTAGAGAGGGGTTGGGTACAAGGAGAACTATCAGGGGTTGCTGTGCCATCTCAACCAGCTTTCCAGGAGGCTAGCAGAGAACAAACCCATTAGCAATGACTCCCAGTCCTTGATGAGGCTCAGGTTGAAGTGTTTTCATTAAGGAATGTTTATAGTTGGTGGGAGCTGGGCCAGGCAGGAGTTGCTGTGGTGGGCTGGGGACCCCCCTGTGATATCTGTCACCCGTGGTAGTCAAGCTGCGGCTAGCTGTAGCTGCTTCTCGTGTGGGCTCATTCTTTTGCACATAACACCATGCCTTGTTACCCAGTGGGATGGGCTAGCTGCCTTTTGCACGGAAGGATGTGTGCCTATGAGGAAAGGAGGCCAGGGAAGGGCACATTTGGGAACTAAGCAGGCTTATAGTGTGGCAGGGCTTGGTTGGTAGGGTCCCTGTTTCTGACCTTTGTCAACTTGTTGGTGAACAGACAGATCCATTGGCAAAAGCATTTCTCCTTGTTAGACTCCTGTTACTTCTGAAGTCTTTTCATATGTTTGAGCGGTCTGTGTGCTGGCCTTGGCCATTCTCTACAAATTTGGATTCACAGACACTGGCAGGGAACTTCTGGAATCGACAGGGGCTGAACAGAGAGAAGCTGCCATGCCCTTTGCTTTGTCCTGGTTCTTTTTAATCGACCCTGTCCTTGGAAGGGAGGAGGATGCTGGATCAGTCTAAGCAGATGTGTGGGCGCAGCCTAGGTTGCAGTCTTCGGAACGAGGGGTTGGAGGGTTAACTGGCTTTATGGGATTGACCACACGGTGATTTTTGTTTGTTTTGAAGTCCTCACTACAGCTTCACAGTGAACTGAATGCTTAGAATTTCACCTTCTATAATTATGTTTGGCCTGCAAAGTCCCTCACCTTTGCCCCTCTTTACCCCCAAAGGATCAAGAGTCCTGTAATAAATGAGCCATGCCCGGTTAAACAGCCACTGCTTGATGAAGAAGACCCAAACCCCAGGCTATTATAAAGGAAAGGCATGGCGGGGGTCGCTCCGGAGCTCTGTGGTGTGGTTGTCAATTTGGCCAAAAACTAACATCTGTGTTTATTTTCCACCCAGCCCTCCCCGCAGCAATGGCCGGTTTGCGTCTGTTTAGCCCTCTGAGTAACATTTCATTTCCTGACTTTATAGGTTGCTATAAAATCCATCCGTAAGGACAAAATTAAGGATGAACTAGACATGGTTCACATCAGACGAGAAATTGAGATCATGTCATCTCTCAGCCATCCTCATATCATCGGTATTTATGAAGGTCAGTAATTCTTTCCCCTACTTCTGTACTACTAACCATTTCGCATACCGCAGGGGCCTTGCCAAGACTTTGAGGTAATTGCCCTTCTGGGCAGGAGCCAAATAGTTTGGCTTCATGATATAAAAATAGCCAAGCATTATCTCTTCATTGCTTACCTTGAATGCAACCAGATACGTGCCGGGCAGCTCATTTGAGGCACGCACCATCTCTGGCTACTGCCTTCTTTCCTCTTCCCGGTTCCTTCGCTTTGGCTGTTGCTAAGTAACCTGCCTTATTGAAAGCCAGTATGCTTAAGAAAAAAAAGGCTGCTTGCTTGGTGACTAGTAACAGTGGGTCCGTTGTCAACATCTTTGTCATTCTGCAAACTGATGGCCACGTCTGGATGAAGAGGTCCTGCGGGTCCTCCCCTGTGAGTTGGAAATGAATGCAGAGGCACTGAGAAAGGCCTCGGAGGCTGTGCCAATGGAGCCCAGCTTGTCGCTGGCGTCCATAAAAGCGCAGGGCAGGGGAAAGCTTGTAAAAGGCTGAGCTTCGGTTTAGCTCTGGTCCTTTACAGGAGGAAATAGAATGTCTAAACCTCACGACCAGCAGCCCTCTTCATTCCACACTCGGTGTGTAAAGACATTCCACACTCGGTGACTAAAACACAGGCATCAAAGCCAGGGAGCAGTTCCTCTCCTCACTCACAGTTGGACCAATAATTCCTTACCTATTTTTTTTTTTAAAGAAAACTCATTTCTCTCTCTATATGCAGTTTTTTGTTTATTAGATTATACTGCTCAGGTTGTTCTCACTGGCTTTTATTATTTTATATCACTGTGTCCCATAAAGACATTTTACAAAGCTTTGTAATATTTCATTTAGGGGCATGCCATAATTTATTGAGTCGAATTTCTTTTGCCAAACACAATTGTTACTCCAGATTTTCTGGTTGTTATAAACAGAGCTTTATTGATTTCCATTCTGATAATTTTCTTATGGGAAATTACTTTAAAAATTATTCAGTCCAGTTTTCCTAATACATACATACATACACACATATATGTATGTATTTTATTTAAAATACATTTTAAATATATTTAATGTATATATGAATATATATAAGCATGTAGTTATGTATATTGATATTCTGAGACAGGATCTCACTATGTAGCCTTAGCTTGTCTGAAGCTCATAGAAATCCTCCTGCCTCTGCCCCCTGAAGGCTGGGATTAAAAGTGTGTGCTGCTGTCACCCTGGTCTCCCCAGATTATTTTTTAAATATGTGGTTAAGTCAGAAAAAAATGAACTTTTTAAGAAAGTGAACTTCCTTTTCATTTTGGATCCACAAAAATGTATCAGGTAAGGGGAGCAAGATGGCACCCTAGATTTTTGGCTGTCCTTCATCTGTCTCCACCTTTTCTCCCTGTTACTTCCTGCTAGAAGTCAGCATCGGAAATACATTTCTGCTTTTTTTCAATCTCAGGGTTTGTTTGTGTGTGTGTTTTCTTTTTTAAGTATTTATGCAGTTAAGTAAGCAGCATACAATGGGGACCGCAGAAGCTGCAGTGTTTGAAAACTCCATGCAAATATGGGGCATCCTGGCTGAGCCTTAAAGGTTTTTTTGGAGGGAAAAGTTAGAAAGAAAAAAAAAAGGAAAACCACTTTCAAAAATAAATCTAAACTTGCTTGGTGAAGGAGGGGTTTATGGATGTTGGAAGTGGGTAGATACAGGAATGTGGGCCAGGGTGAATTTATTTACTTTTTGAGGGGTTTGCTCTGCATGGGTCCGTTACCATGGAAACCCAAGCGCTGCCCTGTGTGGTATGGACTAGGATGAGCCTGTGATACGTGAGCATGGCTGTTTCAGGGTTGCGAGGCCTGACAGTGTGATCAGAGTCTGCACCCAGTGTGGGCTTCTCAGGGTTCTTATTTAGGAGGGCCACCCGCAGTAACTGACATCCGGCCCTGGAGAAACTGCCTTCAGGTCAGCATCAGGGAAGCTGGGAACCAGACAGGACCAGTGGGGGACAGGAAACCATTGTCCTCCCAAAGGGCAAGTCCAAGACGAATATTCTGCTGCCAAGGTTGCACAGGTCATGGTCTATCCCTCCTGGAAGACTCTGGAAGAATCTGCATTATAACTTTAAAGACGGCTGGCTACCCATGTGAAGTAAAGTCCTTTTGGTGACTAGGACTGATCACTAACATGGCCTCAGGAGGGAGCTTGGCCCCCAGCTGTACCTTGAGAGAAGGTTTTAGGCAATCAGAGAAGGGCTTGAGTTTTGAGGTCAGACAGATTTGGAGTTCAGCCCTTAGAGTCATTCCGTGTGTGTGTGTGTGTGTGTGTGTGTGTGTGTGTGTGTGTGTGTGCATACATGTGGAGTCCAGAGGACAACCTGCACATTGTTCCTCAGGTGCCCTTCACCTTTTGTTTGCAAGAGGGTCTCATTGGCCTGGCCCTTCACCACATAGGCTGGACTAGCTGGTCAGTGAGCCCCAGGAGCTGCCGGTCTCTGCTTCCCCTCTCACCAACTCGGATTTACACACGTGCAGTCCCCGATCGGGCTCTTCACATGGGCTCTGGGTTAGAAAGAAGGTCCCTGTGCTTGTGAGTCAAGCCATTCACCAACCTTATCAGAAAATGTGTGTAACTTAGATTAGTTTATTATGTATTACATTATTGTTTATATTTTACAAGACAGAGTGCAGTGGACGTGAGCCCTGTGTTAGGAGATACATACGGATTTGCCTCATTTAGACCTTCTAGCTGATAACTTAATATGGACATTTTGGCTTAGAGACAAAATTCATTTCCTAAAGTTGTACCACTTAGTGATTATAGGGTGTGGATTTTGAATTCAGCCAGTGACACTGACCCAGTATAGGGTCTGTGGTGGCCTGTGGGGACCCCCATTGAGGGCTAATGTTGTCCCTGTGAGATACAGAGAATTCTGGCTTCACAGAGGGCTGTCTTCTATATCTGGTAGCACCAATTTCAGCTATGTGGGTATAGTAGATGCTGTCTCTGCCCAGGCCTTGAGAAGAAGCCTGTATCCCACACCTGTCAGCTCACAGGGCAAGTGTTTTCTAAGCTGTGTACCCTCAGGCCCACGAGTGGTGGCTTCATTGAATGCACGCTGCTGTTTACCAGATCTGAAACTTGATTCCTTCCAAGCATGTCTTTCCAGAAGCAGACTCTGGGGTGGACTGTCCTGTTGACCCTCTGATGAAAACGATTTCTCCTCAAATTTGTCAACTCTGTGTGGAGAAAAACCATCGCTGGCTTCTACTGCTAAGGCGATAGGAGAAGAGGCATGGCCTTTCTAATGGAGGATGCCCGGGTAACCTGATCAGGAGCAAAGAGAAATCTCAGGCAGCATCTCAGGGTGGACCCCGCTTCCTACTCAAAGGAATTCCATTCTTTCAGCAGGGAGGCGATTGACAATATGGAAAAGCAGCAGAAAAAAAAAGGAAGTATAGGAGCTTTCAACTTGGTTTCCTAGAATGGAAAAGATAAAAACAGATTTTGTCTGTGGTTCTGATTTCAGGGCTGCGTTCAGACATCAAAGGCAGGTTGTCTCACCCCCACTTCCCCTTTGAAAGCCCAGGAAACCCCATCCACAAGCCCTCTGGAGACTAGCATCTTTATTGAACAGCACAAGGCTTGAGAATTCCAGTGTCCCATCTGGCAGGAGTACATACGTATGGCTTTTGAAAGCAAAAAGGGAGGGTGGTCCTGGGGGAGATGCCCTCTGGGGTTCTGGATATCGCTCTTCCTAGCCGTATCTGATTGCGTCTCTTTATCGGCTCTTTGTATAGGGATGTGCTGGGGGTGGGTGACCCTTGCATTTCTTTTATCTTAGGTAAAGGGATTTCTGGTTTCCTGTAACACAGAGGAAGGTTTATTTTGGTATTCTTTACCTATGATCAATCTCCTCAGTAAGAATGTTTACAACAGTATCTTTAAACTTAAAAAAGGAAGCAATGAAGCAGACTTGCACCTCTCTCGATCAGCACGTCAGTCTCCTGCGCTGACTTGCGAGCCTACACCTTAAGAAGATGTAGGAGCTTGTGTTCTCAAGTGAGCTCTGGGTTCCTACCACAAAGCACTTGGATGGAGTTGCCGTCCATGAAGGATTCCTCTCATCTTTCTAGAAAGCAAATTAACATAGGTTTTCATAGTATTTATCACCTCCCTCTCCATTGTTGCCAGGAGATTACGGTAGACACTTAAAGCAGCTGCTCACACCCATAGTCGAGAGAAGAGAGTGAATGGAAGGTTGGACAGCTGCTTGTGCTCAGCTCTCTTGCTTCCCTTGTACAGTCCAGGACCCAAAGCACAAAGAATGGCACTGCCCATGGTGGGCAATCTGCCTGCCTATTAAAGTAATGAAGGCAAGCTCCCACCCTCAGACAGCCTGATCTCCAGAATCCTTGTTAACATTCTCTTCCCAGGTTTTTCTACCTACTTGATGGCAAAACTGTTTCTCCATCCGCACCGCCCCACCCGTGTGTGTGTGTGTGTGTGTGTGCGCGCGCACGTGTGTGTGCACGCGTGTGCGTGTATGCTGTGCATGAGTACATGCCCATGGGTATGTGCAGGTGGATGCTAATTATTGATAGAGTTTCTTTCTTGATTACTTGGTTTGAGTCGTGAGCACCAGAGTGCGGTAAGTACTTTGCCAAGTAGGCTATCTCCCAGCCCCAAATATGCTTCATAAAAGCTGTCTGTGCTATGTGGCATTATGGTAAACGCTTCCAGAACGGGATATTTCTTTAGACCAGCCTGGTCTACAGAGTAAGTTTCAGGACAGTCAGGGCTATATAGAGAAACCCTATCTCAAAAAAACAAAACAAAAAAAAATAAATAAATAAAAAAGAGGAAAGAAAGAAAGGAAGGAAGAAAGAAAAAAAGAAAGAAGAATCTGTGTCCCACAAATCCAGTTGCTATTGGTGGAAGCACCTCGTATTTTGTGGGCTCTAGTGTGACAATCAAGGGGTCTTGAGAGGCAAGACTG